TCTCCTTATATATTTTCTTTCCCTACTTGTCTTGTTTGCCACCAAATCATCACCTCATCGCCATCTCTTGCTCTCTTTGTATATATATTCTCTTTGAAGAACGGGAAAGGAGCTAGGGTCTTCAAGTTTTGTGTATATTAACTCGAGCTCTGAACATGTATAGCTAGGATTTTCTTTTTCTTACGGCTTTTGCTTGTTGTCTTAGTTAGGAGATCATCATCAGATGTCTAGCCGAGGCCATTGGAGGCTGGCTGAAGATGAGAAGCTTCGCGAGTTGGTGGAACAGTATGGTCCGCATAATTGGAACTCCATAGCCGAAAAGCTTCAGGGAAGATCAGGTGAGAATTAAACCAAAATGATTTTATATTAATCTATTCATGATTTTCCAATTAATATGGTTTATTTTTGCTAGGTTTAGGGATAATTGAGCTGGTCATGTTTGGTTTTTTATTTAAAAATTTATGCGAGAAAAACATGAAATATATATACTTCGTAGAAAAAGAAATATTAAATATGATTTTGACTAATAACTAACTAAAAAATTGTAAATTAAATCAGGGAAGAGTTGTAGGTTGAGATGGTTTAATCAGTTGGATCCAAGAATCAACAGAAGCCCTTTTACAGAAGAGGAAGAAGAAAGGCTTCTTGCTTGTCATCGGATTCACGGCAATAAATGGGCTGTTATTGCAAAGCAATTTCCTGGTCGTACTGATAATGCAGTAAAGAACCATTGGCATGTAATCATGGCAAGAAGATTTAGAGAAAGATCGAAGATTCATGCAAAAAGAGCATCTCAATCGTTATTAGTCAACGAGCAGAAACCTTCCTTCTCAAATCAAGATGTGAGGATCATGAATCGTGAGCCGAGGAACAATGCTCCATCATTTGTCCACAAATACTTTGAAAGTTATTGTGATCATTATCATCATCCCTTCACCCCAATTTGCAAAGATTTACACAACCAAAATCCTAGCCATTGTGAAGGTAATTAACTACAGAAGATCACCATCAAACATATAAAAATTACACTCTTAGGTTGAGAAATCTTTTTGATGGGCACTAGCTTGAGTTTCATGGAAAAATTATTGGTGGATTTTTGTAACATGTAGTTGGTATAGGTTGCAATGAGTTAGTACCTCAAAACAAAAAACTATAAACAGAAGGAACAGAAACGTATTTATAAAATAAATATATATCTATGATATTTTTAAAGTGAATTTCTATCAGAATAACGGGGAAACATGTCATGATCTCTGCTCTCGATCTCTATCTCTTCTATTAGTATATATTGTCGTGCGTATATCCTTCTTAATTTGGTGATTATCTATTTTATATCAGTTTCTTAACGCATTTTTTTGTACAAATTAATATTGCAGGTAAAAATCAACCTCTCGAGTTTTATGATTTTCTCCAAGTAAAGACCGAGTCTAGCAAGAGTGAAGTGATAGACAATGCAAGAAGAGATGATGTCGAGGTGGATCAGGAAGCCAAGGAATTGCCTAAGAGCAGGGATGTTTTTCCATTCATTGATTTTTTATCTGCTGGAAACCAAGTTAGTGGATTATAGGGTCTTGATGATGATATATACAAATGTATGCAACCTTCAGTTTAGAATCATTCCTAGATGCTGCGCAAATGCATTGACATGTATAATTAGGCAGATATGTGTTGAAGAAGACGTATTATACGGTACGAGGCATATATACTGCAAATAACAGCGCTGTCTGTGTAGAAATTGTAGAGGTTTTAGCACTGCATTAATCAATTATAACAGTTTGGTACAATTCATACGTCATGCTGCTCTCCATCTCCCTCCCTCCCTCTCTCTCTATTTATATATATTAGATGTACAGTCAGTCGATTTGTACATATGCACAAAAACAAGAATACTCCATGAAATATTAGTTTTCTTAACAGTATTCGTGATTTATCTATTTCTGATTACAGTAATATTAATAATGGAAGGGCTCCATTCATTTTTGGGGAATAAGGACATCTAGCTGCATAATAGAAATGTATTTAATTAAAGAGATAGAAATAGAAATATAAATATAAAATATATTTATTTTTATGACAGTTGTAGAGTAAATTTTTATATTTTTAAAAGAGAAAATGTAGATTGTTTTCTTTGTTTTTGTCCAAAACGTTAACCAAACACCGTCGAATTACTGTTTACATGAACAAGTCGGACAGTTTCATGATGAAAACCATCCTTTGCATCTTCTTTATTTTTCCATAGCTTTTTGTGTTTCCCTTTTAGTAGAAGATCATCGGAGAAGATTTTACAAGACTTTTTGCATATGCAAATTGGATAGTTTCTCCATAGCTTTTTCTTTTTTCTTTTTAGCAGAAGATTTTTATAAAACTCATGTTCTATATAAAAATATGACGATGATATTTCTCCATAATAATGCATTGGGATTGAAAACTTCTTTGCTGTGGTTTCGATCCTTGGACACTCCAATTGATCCTGGCTGCTACCTATATATATTGATTTTATAAGTCCTAGATCGACCTATATTTTACTGGGAAAGAAGAGGCAATGCATGTTCTAGGACATTGATGATCTTGAGGATTGAGCTAGCTAGTGGCTATGATGATGTAATCAAGCACTCCCAGAAAACAACTTCAATTAACACCTTCAACGATTCAATGGTGTGATTGAATTAAAAATTGTGCATGGCTTTGACAGGACTTGTAACCACCAAAAACTTTTTGTCTTTTCTACACTTGTTCATGATTCAACAACGATCCAGAAAAAAAAAATCTTTTTCTTTCATTTGATCAGTTAAATACATGATGATATTGCCTCTGTTCACATTATTAATCTCTCCACTTATGTCAATCAATCTGAACGTGTTGGTTTCTTGACAGTGTTTCTGGCTTGGAAGCAACCAACCTTTGAATTATATAGGAGTTTAATCATACCACTTAAGACTTCAACTAATGATGATGTTCAGAAGTCCATTAATAAGTAGCGAGGATGAGAGATTCGTGGTTTCAATTTAGAGAGGAATTTAATAATTACTTGTTTCATTATTAGATTTAATTATTTTTAATTTATCTCCCTGTATAGAATTATTATAATTTTCCAATTTGTTGTTTCATTAGGTATTTAATTTCATCTAATTGATTGAAATACTTAAACCAGATTAATTTAAGTTTCTCATGCGAGGACATTTTCATTGATTTGTACAATAACATATAATAAAATGATAGGTTGAATATAAATCAGACTTGTAAAACAAATTAGAGACAAAATCCTTGAACTTTAGAAGAATAGTATTAAGCTACGAGGCTCACCTACCTCATTAAAGGCAATCCATTAATTCAAACCCTAAACTCACCTAAACATGTTTGACATGAAGACAGAGAAAAGAGTGCGTACATACATAGAATACAGGGGTTGTTGTTGGCATTTCAACATGTATAGAATAGGACCACATCATTAACTAACTAACTAACTAACTAGAATGTATTCTAATTAAGTTGTAATAAACTCGATTTCATTTCTTCTCATCAACACGTATCCCATTTATAGACATAGATTCAGCAAGTTTCCTCTTCGATCATCTCTTCATCTATGGATGCTAAAGACTTGCTCATATCACAAACATGAATCACGAATTAAAGGTACATAGCAGTAATTAATTTTGTAGTTTTTGTTGAACTTTGTGGCTGTTTAGTCGTGATTTTTCTTGAAATAAATTTCGTGATTTCTAGCGTCTTTCGAATCACACATTGTAGGTATGCTTTGTCTCAAATCCTAGTCATATTCTAGAAGAGAGTCTAGTGGAGTTTGGAACTAGTTTGAAGACCCAAGCTATATTGTGGCTCGGATTAATTTTTGTTTTTTTTAATGTGACAAGAAACAGCTAGGCTACGTAAGAATTATCTACATTGTAATTAAATTCAATTCAACAGATTAATTATTTAAAAAAAATAAAATTAATAAGAAAAAACTTTACTTGACACTTTATTTATTTTAAATTTAAAATTAAATTGTATGGAAGTTATTTGATGTGATTTGATTAATTTGGTTAATTTAAAAGTAATTCAGATAATTATATATTAAAAAATTTAGGAATAAAATTGAAAAAAAATACAAAAAAAAGAAAGAAAAAGAGTAAAATTAAAAAGAAAAAAAAAGAGTTCCGTTGTTAATTTCAACAACAAAGCTACGCAATGAACTAAAAGGTAACTACTGAAAGAGATGTTGTTTGAAGCTGATTTAGTTAATTCTTACGGTATCGTAATGGCTAGGGAAGTCCTTTAATTTGTTGCGGTTGATTAGTTTCTCAAAAATAAATAAAAATAAAAATAAAAATAATAAAAGGAATATGATATATGTTTTCTTTTTCTCTGTTTTTTTTTTCATATTTTGAGTGGGAAAAAAAAAACTATCTAAATATTTGTGTTTTACTGAAAAACTTTAAAAATTATAGTTCCTCCTTGCTCATAAACACATTGCATCAACAAAGGTGCTATAACCATATTTCATAGTTTCAGTTTTGATCATCGTATTCAAGGCACAATTAATCTGGATGGATTTTCACCAATATATATGTTGGAATCAGGAGCTTGATTTGTTTGCAATAACTGTATGCATGCAGCCCATCAATAATATTCCATACAAATTGCCATATGATCAAGAGCTAGCTAGCAAGCTAGCATGGAGATATCTGCAAATCAAGGACTTGCATGAATCCTCGAGTCTCATACCAACCTGGACGATAATCAGTCACCTTCCTGCAAGTTATACGTCTTCTACTAAAAACAACAGGGCAACCAAACCTCTCACCTCGCAAGGCCATATGTGCCTCCTTCCTTCCGCAATCAACAATCCCCTGCACAGCAGCAAACAAAGAGCTAGTTTGGTAGTGCTATATCTATATATCTTCTCCCAAACATATTGATCAGCGGTCAAACATCACTCTTAGGTTAAATTAACGAGACTTCTTGTGGGTCTGGCTGGCTGGTGATCCACGACGATATATGGAGGGTGGATTCTTGCATATTCAAGAGAAGGGTGGAATCTGAAATGTCATAAGTTCGCATAATTCCCACCTATCAATAAATGAGTGATTCTTGTGGGTTCACATATTAATTTTAATATATGCTTCCATTGTCATAAGAAACAAATCATAAATAATATTTAAACCCAAAACCGTATGATACATGCCCCATGTTATATATGCGATCCTAAATTGTGAGGCCATACAATTCAGTCACTTATTAATTGTTTTTTTCATTTTTTATATATTTGTGACCAATATTTATTTTCATGAATCTTGTATTACAAATCTCTATCAAGCTCTACAATTTTTTTTAATAAAAATTAACTTCACTCGATATTCTTTTTCAAATTTACAACAATTCAACAATTTTTAATTTCTTTTTGTTTTTCCCATTGTTTATTATGCTCCTTTATATTTCTCTTTAATTTACTCTAATATATTTTCTCATTGTCACCTCTCACTAATCTTTCACTTATTGTTTCTATCTTTATTCCTCACTCAAGAGCACTTTCTCTTCATCTACCTCTCTCACTCTAATTCGATATCTTTCTAACTTCTATTTATTATATTTCCCTCTATATATTACCACTTAATTCATTGTTCTCTCTACTTTCATTTAAACATATCACCTTCCATTTTACTCACTATCACATTCTATTTTTCATTAATTAAGTTTCTCATAAAAAAATGCATTAGCTAAAAAATTAATTTAAATTTTCTACTTTATTATTTAAATTAAAGATGATAATTGATGTTAATGTCTGTAAAGAAGAAGAAAAAAAAGGTGTTGTTAACGATTAATATTAGTAGCAATTATTTGAAAATGATGATTATTAATAGTATTCTTAGTTAAGTTAATTATTTTAAAAAATCATGATGTTGATTATTACTATTATTAAATATTAAATTTTTTTATCCCATGAATATTAATCATTTCAAGCTAATCCAAATTTCATTATTTTAGTGTTTTTTCTTTTGTCATTTTCTCCGAGAGTTTAGTATATTTTTTTTATTTATTGTTAGCGTACAATTTTATGGTTGATGGTGGCATTTCAACTCAATATTGTTTTTTTTTTTAAAAAAAAATCAACACCGAATATGGAGCATATCACTAAAATTAATTAAAAATTAAACACATGACAAACGCAATTTCTTTTTGATGGTGATATATATTTCATAACCATAGCTAAAAGACAAACTCCAGTCTTAAATTTTTTGCAGAATCTCTAGCTTCTTTCCCGTTGATTGAAAAACTCCCTCTCTTCATGTTTCCATCTCTTCATCAATGGAGATAACACCTCAAATCCTACAAAATGCATTCTTTCTCTACATCATATTGGAGTGCAGTGGCATACCTGCAGGACTGATCTTGTTAATTTCTGTTCTCTCTATATTTGATGCCAGGATTTATATGATCTCACCTCACATGCTTCATTTTTGGACTGCCCATTATCATTTTCGCTGCCTTGCTGCTTTTGTTCATTATCATCGGCACAGACATCCCTTTCATGGTAGATGCCATTAAAGAACTGCAGAAGTTCTTTATTTTCTCTTTTATCTTCAGTGCCGACAGAATTTTCCATGATCACAAGTCTTGGAATTCCAAGATTAATTGCTGAGAAATTCTCAGATGATGTTCATGTGATTCAGGTACGTACGTCCGCATCTTAAATTTTTTTCATTATTTATTAAGTGAGTTTTTAATTATGAAATAATATTTTCTTTATACTTGGATCAAATTTGGTATGTACAAGTCATGATGATCAAAAGGTTGTTTCGAAACAGAATAATAAATAAATAAATAAATTAGGATTTCTTATTATGTTTTATATCAAACTGAGTAAGAGTTGGACTCGTTAAATCTGGTCAATTCAATACATTAACTTGCAATCTAATCAAAACCCAAGCAAGAATACGCGTTATTAAATATTTTCTTTTATATATATATATATGTATGTATGTATGTATTACAATAGCATCCCACATTTTGCCAAGCTTCTAAAAAAATCAATAGCACTACCATACACGACAGGTAGCGCGTCCAAACACAATGTGGTGGAACCCATACAAAGCTGCAAATAGCCAGAAAATAATCTCCACGTGTCAAACAGACAAAACTCACAACACATGGGAACCTCAACCAGACAAACTAAGATAGACAGAAGTAACAACCCCAAGCGCGTAAACGCCAATCGCCGCCCCCACCACCTCCTTACCACCCTTCACTACCGCTCCAACACCCACAATCCCAGCAACCCCAAGTGGCAGCCGACCCAAAACAGCCTTACCAGCATTCCCCACAGCAGCCTCTGTGAACAAAACCAACGCCCACTCTCTAAATTTGGCATGCCCAAGAATAAGCTCCCCTTTCTCCTCCTGGGCTGCTCCGGGCTTCTTGTTTGTGACCATCCTGAGTGCCCAGTCAATCTGGACCTGGGTTGGTGGAGATGGTACCCACTTGAGGATTAGTGGGGCGGCGGAGGCGGTCGTGGTGAGGGTGGTGTGGAGGTATGTGGTGGCGGTAGGGAGCTGGTAAGGGAGGATGCCTTGGAAAGCATGTTGAGTTAGGGATAGACAGTGAGTGAAGGTTGAGTCACAAGCTAAGTTGAACTCTTGTGAGTTGGATAGCGTTGTTTTGACTCGTTTTGAGGCTGATATTCCCATCTTCGATTAATCTTTTCTTCTTCTTCTTCTTCAGCTTCCACAAAAAAAAAAAATCAATCTTACTGTGGATTCTTTGTTTTGTTGGGGCATCAGGGGATACCAATAGGTTATTTTTCCAACGACATGTCGTGGAAGCATTACACGATAGCGTCAAAGATACAATCTGGTCCTTCAATGTTTTCATCAATTTCATTTTCAAAAGATATATATCAAATTAAATTTTATTTATATTAATTAAAAAATCTTAAAATTTTGCAAGATTATGCTATTTCTCAATTTTAATTATACAATGAGCGAGGATTATTCTTTATAATCTTAATCACTTGATATTATATAATATATTGTGAAATATATATAGACTTATGATGTGAAGTTATAATGTAAGATGCTACATCGTGTTGATAAATATGTTCAAATCAATATATTACTTATGTATAAATTGATATGAACTAATTATTATTGTTAATCAAAACTTTGAAATGTCAAAATGAAGCGATTAAATAGTTGTACACACAATGGAGACAATGGAAAACAATTAATATACAGGGACTAACATGAAATTTAATTAAATTATGGTACTGATTTGTATTTAACAAAGGCCTTATGACTACTCCTCCCCTCCTCTTTCGCATCTTCTCCACACTGCAGCAGCACTACCATGAAATCCGCATTAATGGGTTCTCTCAAATTCCAAATCCCACAACTAGGCTTCCTCAAAACCCTACAAAAACCCCACCTTCCTCGTTCCTCAGTCATCACCTGCAGTCTAAGAGGGAAGCCAAGACCACCTTTGTGGAGGGCAAAGAGGTTATCCACTGAAGCCATTCAAGCAATCCAGTCTCTCAAGTTAGCTAGATCGTCCACACCAAGATTAGAAGAAGTCTTTAACAGTAAGCTCTCAAGATTGCTCAAGACTGACTTATTGGATACCCTTGCTGTCTTGCAAAACCAAAATGAGTCGGACTTGGCCCTCAAGGTAAATAAAAGAAAAGAAAAGTAAAGAAAAATGCTTTTACTTCTGTTATTATTTTGTTATTGTACCTAGATAAATGCTAAATATAATTGCTTTTGCCACGATTATCCTATCTGAACTATTCAATGTATAGGACACATTAGGAACTTTTCGACCGAATACAGTTTCATTGGTTATGCACTAGATTCTAGTAATTTATCTGGTTAGTATAGTTAATGAATTACAATTTGCAATTGGTTGCTGTCTTGAGATAAAAGAGACGAATAAAAGGAGATGTCCCTTTGTTTGTCACGTTTTGAAATAACATAAATTCACTTTAATGTCACAGAGGCATCTATTTTATGTCTCCATTAGGGCTCCAACCAAACATGTTTCAATCCTTTCTATATCTGTACAGGGACTCTAACCAAATATGATTGGTTTTGTATAATAGATAATAATTTCTCGTTGAATAAATGGAAGTGACAGATGCATGTGCGTCACTTTTTTCATGAATTGTCTAGTCTAGGTAGGTAGATGAAGAAATGTTGACTTGTAAATGTATGGGTGGGTGCAGTTGAGATTGGATAGTTGTGACAGATGCATGTGTGTTTAGCACTTTCGTTGTTTGCAATGGACTGTATTTTTTTATGGATATCTGAAATGAAATCAGGGTTTTAGGTGTTTGAGTTTGTGAGGAAGGAGGTGTGGTACAAGCCAGATATATTATTGTATCATGCAATGATTCAGATGTTGGGGAGGAACAAAATGGTTGAAATGGCTGAGGAATTTTTTGGCAAATTGGAAAAAGAAGAAGGGTTGAAACCGGATACAAGAGCATTCACTGAGATGATTGGTGCTTATCTGCAAGTGGATATGATTGATAAGGCGATGGAAACATATGAAAGAATGAAGGCATCAGGATGTGACCCGGATAAGTTAACTTTTAGAATTTTGATTAGGAACCTTGAGGATGCTGGAAAAGAAGAGCTTGCAGATCGTATAAAGAAAGAATGTGGTGATTATATGGATTATCCTCAGAAATTCCTTGAAGAAGTTGAGAGAAAAAAAAATGTAAGTACCTAGCCTTTTCCTTTATCCAGATAGTTTTGTTATTCATTTGTTCTGTCTTGTTATTCATGTGGAAATCAGTAAATGGCGTTAGATTATGTTGCTTGGAACCAACTATTGGTAGTTAAAACTAGAATACATTAGAACCTTTTAAGTTTGAATAATTTGTAGACTAGTCATGGATTATGGTCCAAAAGAGCATGGAATGTTTTGTGGCCTTGTTTCAATCTTGTGTTAAGTTTAGGATTTGTTGTTTTTTTAATACTGAATAGTGGATCAGCTTCAAAATCACTTTCATATTGATCAGGAATTTCATTTTGAGATAAAAAAAAAATTTAACTTCACTATCATCCCCGTCATCTCTGGTCAGTTTATGATGCTTTGTGTTCTTCAAAATTTTCACATCTTGAATGAAGGATAAGGACATAGTAGAGGCTTTCTTGCAGATAACAAATGTTTTGTTTAAGGATGACATTGTCCCAGCTATTTTGATATAGAAATACTTCTTAATGGAACAATCTAATAATAGAAGCAAAGTAGGAAAAGACAAGGAATAAAATGGGGCGTGCCTCCACTATCTTACAACCTAGTCTGAATCCTCATTCATGGTGGCTTTTGCAGTAGTTGTGCAAAGTAGCAGATAAGAGCCTGAATCCTGATTGTTGCAGGCTTTTGCACTTCATTGTTATTTCACTTTTTTTCCAACTGCAACTTTATGTTGACTGTGAACTGCATAAGTACGGGAAAACGAGTAGACTGGTATAGCCGGGGTAATGTTTATACATAATTGTAAGAACTTGTGTTCGTTCTTGACTTGTATATTTCACATTTGCTTTCCTCAGGTAAAGAGGCTGGTGGTCGATTTTTTTTAAAGATTTCCAGTGCTTAGAATGGAAAGGTCGTCGTGGCTGGTTTGCAGTACTGTGTACTTAAATGTCAGAAGGCTAGGAACTTTGCTGTCAGTTCCTGCGAGGCAGATTTGATTTGTACATTGTTAAAGCTGCAGAGCAGACGACCTCGTGCAAGTTGTTAGAAGAACAAAGCATTAGAATAGTTGAGGAATATGGGCTAGCAAAACGTTAGCTAATGAACGAACCCTATTGGATATGGAGACACTAGATATTTGCAAAAGTTGCAGTAAACTTGCATTTTCCAGGCTTTTCAGGACCACATGACCACATCTTTATTGAGATGTCTGATACCTGTATTTCTATAAAGAGTCGTGTCTGAGTTCCATCAACCTCATTCGGTATTTCTGAAAAGTCTTATACAAAGAAAGAATTGAAAAAAATGTGTAACTTTGAGGACCAGGAAGAAATTAAGGGAAGTGGTACAAAATGCTGTTCTGTCAACTCCCAAAGGTGAACTTCAAAGATACATAGAAGCACTTTCTTTTAGTTAGAATGGTAAATGTACAAGGAAATGCTTGAAAAAAATAAAAATTACAAGCCACAACACAAATGACAACATTGGTTGATCTCCTCCGCTAGAACGGAGACAACACATACATTTGTAGATTACAGATCGCTACAGGGGACCCTCAAAAAATGGAAAACAAAATTTATTGGACAAGGAAACCGAAACGGGGCTGTCAACAAACGAAGAATCCCTCTTTTCTCTCTGTGGCGTCGTCGAACATACTGTGCCACATGAATGCTCTCTAGCTTGCTAAGTGGCTGGGGGAGTTGTTGAACATACTGTGCCACATGAACGCTCTAGAGAGTACCATCTCAAGCTCTTGGTGCGTCCAATTCTGAGTTGGTAGGTGTTGAAGAAACATCACCAACTCTTGGAAATCAAGCTTCTGAAGCTCTTCTGACCACTGGTAAAAAGGTAACCAAAAACTGTTAAGCCTGTGATGCAAAATATTTCAATGAAAGCCACCATTATATACTCTCGATAAAATGTGCAAAGATTCATCTGACTCGTCAAGAATGAGAAGGACATGCCAATGATATAGAAAAGTTAGAAATTGCAAACTATTGATTTGGAATTAGCATTGGATGGCATTTTACATCATTTATGAAGTCAGTGGTTTTGCAAAATACATGAGTGGTAATTCAGTACCATACATGTTACATGCTCTGAATGCAATTCAGAAACCAACCATAACCCAAGTTAAGAAAATTGAAAGCTGCTAGTGAAACCCAAATTCCTTGTGCATGTTACAGCATTCCTGTTATACTTTTCTCATCAACTAAACAACTAGCATCATATAGAAGAGCCATTTATCATTTTCACAAGCACCACGAAAAGAATGATCATTATAGAAGTAATGCTTTGAAACATGAAACCAAGCAGAAGTATTCTCACCGTCAAAAGAAAACTGGCAAATATGTATACGAGGAAATCTGGCAATGCATCTCCTTCAGCAAGATATGTGTCCCATAGGCGGGTCACAAGATGAAAAGGAATCTAATGAAACAAAGTAAGACATAAGCTTCAGAATTAAATAACATGAGAACGAGGACTTGCCACTGCAGCAGCTTCAAACTTAAGAGTTTGGGCCACTACGAACTAGTTAGCTGAATATTAAAAAACTAAATAAATGGTGGTATATAACAATTGCAAGTACTGACAGTCTTAAGTGAGGAATCATACCTCACGTATTAAAAGACAGTTAAACCAGCGGAAAGCAAATTGAAGAAATTCAAGCCCTTGCTCTTCCATGTGTCTCGAAACAGGTTCTGTCACAATTTAAAAAAAAAAACAGATTCCTCAATAGAGCATGCAAAGTTGAGCATATTAAGCATAAAATAAATTAGAAATAACTGGGGCTATACATGAGGTTATCGTGACAGATCATGCATAGTTGACCCTACAAATAAATTTATAGAAAAGCTAGGTTAGCATGCACAAGTTGAAGTCCCAAGGTTACATTTGGAAAACAAAAAATTGTATGCACTGAAAGTAGATTAGATATTGATACATCAGCTTGGTGAATGGTGTTGAATTTTTTGAGGAACAGAGAAGGACAAACAGTTTAAAAGATAGGGAAACTACAGTAGGCATAGACATGAAAGCTACTATAGCAACAAAAATGATTCCTTTCTAGCAGACAACCATGAATTTAGCAACATATGCACTCGGGTCTTCAACCAAGAAAAACATAGGCTGGTAGAACAACATAGAAAAAATGTTTACCATCAATCCTATTAACCAATTCCTTGAGCTTAAACACAAGTCTTTGTATTCCTGGTTGAGCAAATGTGTAATGGTCTTGCATGCCATCAAGTAACTTAGATAGGCACCAATAACAATCAGCCTCTACGTTGGAGATTTTATCTGGAGATAGATCAGAAATTGACCACTTATGTATGTCCCCCTCCAAGTGTTCGGACAGGAAAACAACCAGAAAGGGTGTGGCAAGGTCATTTATTCCCTGAACATATCCACTTGCGGGATGCCGAATGGCCCTGGAAAGAAATCAAGAACCATAACACCTGAAGGAAAATCAGATTACACCAAATAATAAGGAGATAACTGACCGAGCATATTTACAACTACACACCTCAGATTCAGATGTGGGACTCTCAAGAGAGTATTTCAGTTTAAATTATATTGTACTGAGCAAAAGTAGAGTCATGTATTTAGCACACATCAGGGCTTATTTTCAGAAATTAACAATTCATGCAAGAATCCTTTTCAGTGTCAGATGTCAGAGTTATATGACAGGAGATGTTTGTTATAAGCCTATGAATTCTTCTATATTATATGAATTCTTCTATATTATGGCTGATGTTTACAGAACTTTATCATGTTAACTTCGATGTCCTTCCGAGATTCTGCCCCCATGTCTCTCACACATCCCCAGCATCCAGATGCACACAGGTCAAGACATATAATTGCCTTTTAATTGATGACTTCCCAAGATGAAAAATCCACATTGATTATATGATCAGACATTTAGTTTGCCATGTGATCCATGTAGCAAGATTTGTCCAAACAAATCACCAAGTACATAATAAACTAAAGGGAATGTGTCAGAAAAGTCAAAGATTTTTCTTTAATTCTCAATACAATCATCTTCATCAAAGCATTTGAAATCATCTAACTCTTCCATTGCATGTCAACAGAAATCCATTGGTGCTAAAGAAAGATGATAAAAATAGTATCTAACCATGTATAAAGAATGCGCTCCAAGGATTTCTGAACTTGTTCTTGCTGAAAGAAAATGACATCAGGTACTGTTCTTGGACAATCAACAGAAATCTAGCAATGGAAGCAAAGGAAATTGTCAAGAATTGGGCATGCAGGGCTGACAAACGATCAAGGCAGACATAATTATGCAGTGGAAATACCTGCCGAAGCATGTTGACCTCATCATCTGAACGTTCAGTATCTGGAATGTCATAAAATTGAGCAACACAGTCAAGGTACTCAAGGCGCTTTCTTCTTAGAACTCCCTCCCTTCTATCTGAATTAGGCGATGCATATCCCTGCGGTCAGAGCACATTCAAATTTCAAACATGCAATAAATTTTGTTTCATTAAAAACAATCATGACCAGGAGATCAAAAGGCCATGCTAAGTAAGCCCTTGATAACCAAATGAATCATTTTCACACAGGAAGCAACAGACTCTATGGAGAAGGATCACTAGATTCTAGCAGCACAAAAAGCTAGCAATGCTGTTTTTCTAGTACTCTAGTCAAAACCATATTAATCCTAATTGGAATTGGTCTCAGGCTTACCAAGAGAAGCCTCCATATGTTTGGGCGCATATATGGTGGTACTCCACTCCAAGCTAACTCACGCAACTTCTCTGCACAATGCATATGAAAAGAGTGAGGGAAATATTATAGCTTATGAAACTTGAAATGTACAAGAAAATGTCATGCTGATGGGTGCAGGTGCAAACATCTAAACAAGCCTCATAAATCCCAGTTTTATCATATACGAAATACCAGAAATCATGAGACAACATCCAAAATATGCCCACTGAATTAATCTAAAGCTCTAAGAACATAAAATCTAATCTATTTGCTGATGAAACTAGCTACAGAAATCCCTACTTCCATACATCCAGGTCCGCATCATCTTATCAATCTACGGTCATCAAATCTTTCTTCACCAGCTAAACCTCCTCTATGGCTTTCCTCTAGTGCATGCAGCAATCTGGATTAGCACATTTCTCCTCAAGGTTGTTGAAAATGACTGAAGCATTTTAGAGAGCTCTTCTCCAAAAGTGGTGCTATAACCACCTACTCTTCAATGAATGCATTTCTTATTGTATCTCGCCTTGGGGATCACTCAAGTAAGCAAGTACTTTAAATCGTATTTTTCTGTTATATGTTGCTTGATTATCCAGAATTATATCCTAAAAGCATGGTAATACTATCCATTTAGAAAGTTGTTCCATTGAATTGATCAGTAAGTTAGTCCATTTAAATTGATATCACAAGTTTTCAATATAGAAACATTTAACATATGCTATGGACTTGAATTATAAAGGTCTGAATATGAAGCCTAAGGTCAATCAATGTGATTAATCTACAGTAATATACAAGCATATACCAGCATACCTAATGTAACTGTGGATCCTGATAATTCCTTTGTGAATTTCATGACTCTGGCAGAATCTGTAGCTCTAGCACCCATGACAGACTTCTGAACTTCTTTGGACGTTATCTCAACATTGGAGTTTGTAGGTTTTAGCTTGTTTGTGGTCATGTTATTGTTTTGCTGCTTGCTGGTACCCTCGGCTTCTGCCTGCATTAGATTTAAGATTTCTTTGTTCAAGTACTCAATTACTGAACTCTAGCACATAAAAATACTACACCATATACAAAAATTGATGCAACGAATCTATTATCCATATCACCTCCTTTGACATGTCCATTTGATCACTTGTGCCAGCATCATTTTCTGAGAAGCTCCTTCCAAAAGTCGATGATCGTAAGCTGAGATCCTCTGGTGGATCTGCTCTCCTGGTCAGTAAAACTTTACCAGGAATACTACGACCTTTAAGTAACCTTCATTGCAGGATAAAAAAATAAAAATCAAAGTGCCATTATTCAAGTCTAGCACAGTTCATGGTAAAAGGAGTTGAAAAGAAAAACATCTCCAGCCATATGAATGTCAAACTATGTCCCTTAACCATGTACAAGGCAATACTTTTCACCCCGCAAACAGATGCATGCCATCACATGAGCAAGCATCAAGCA